AACGTCTACAGGGGCTTGATCAGGATAGTCTAAAACCACAATTTCTGCTTCTGTAATTCTTTATTGATCACAGTTACTGTTTTTAATGCTCTGGTCACTATTTTAATTCTACGTTATGCTATGTTATTTTGGTAGTTTTAATAATAACAGCTAGGTATAAATGCTATAAATAGTTTTAATAATACCATACCTTTCCTCTTCTGAGTGCTTTTTCCTTGCTTTAAGCTGAATGACCATATTGATTTTCCCCTTCCACTTTCCATGGAAGGGTTGCTGAGGCCTTTCTCTGAATGATGACCCTTTCTGGAAAGCAGTAGTAGCCAAGGATGCTGAGGAGCCCTTTGAATTGGGAGGGAATATGAGTCGATCAGCTCGCTGGCCGCCAGGAGCTCTGCTCACTAAGGCACAGCCTTAGGCATGTAAAGTCCCGCTCATTTTCTGTCCCTATGGCTAGGGGCTGCGTTGGTTGTAGTGAAGGTTCAAAGGATACAGTGGCATTCATCCAGGGCACGAGGGTGCACGAGCCCAAGCCCCTCGGTCACCCACACTGCTTAATGGCTGGCTGAAGTCAAAAGGGTCCCTCAGGCATGGCTTCCCTATGGAAACCCTTGTGGGGTATAGCTAACAGAGGCAGGACAGTCGCGGTCAAAACCTCACCATGTCTGCTGTTATTTTGAGCAGGACAACTTGGTGGCCTAGTGCTCCCCACAGCCTGTTGTAAGCCTGTGCTGGTGTATGTCTAGTTTGATAAGCTATCATATAAACGGCATGGAGGAGAGGCCTTTCAAACCAGAGGCAGCTGAGGATGGCACCTCCCGAGCTTTGATCCCTACCTAAGCTTAATTTCTCTCCTTCTTCTGTATTTTGGGGATAATAATACTGATACTTACTCATTTTGTAAAGCTGAGTAAGTATCAGCTGATGTTTTTTAACTAGCACTGTTGGGTAAAAAATAAAGGGTAGGTAGGTAGAAGCATACATTCAAGAATTAGAGCTTCTGGCCACAGCCATCAAGAGTGACTAACACATTCATCTCCTGTCCCCAAGGACCTCACTGCAAACACTTAATGATGGTTCCAAATTTTAAGCTATTACCTCATTGCCTGTAAGTAAAGTACATGGCAGTATGATTTACCTGAACAAGAAATAATGTGTCCAACCCCTTGTGGGATACTAAAGCCGCATGGAGGTGACATTAATAAGTCGTTTTTATTGGGGTTAAAGAGAGGACAGAGGATCTGTAGGAGGGCAGACAGTGAGACAACAGAAGGAAGAAGGTTGTTATGTGTTAATGGGAACAGTGGTCCAGATAATGATCTGCCCGTCTAATCATCAGTCTCATTTTCCCCCCCTTGTCTGGCTCCAAAATCCTAAAAGCAAGTGTAAGTCACCTTGTTTAGTAGCTAGAGAGCAGAGAAATCGGGATAGGTGGACTTGTGATGGGAAGCAACCCAAGGGGACAGCAAACTGAACAGTAAGGCCACACAGGGACGGAGTCTGGTGGGGTGCTGGTTGTGCAGTCTTTTATTTACACACACACACTGACATGGCAGTTTGTCATGCCATCAGCAAGTCAGATAAAAGACACATGACTACTGCTACTAATGGGAGGGCAGCTTCCCATTAGTGAATGAACTGTAATGTCCCTGTAAGGCCACAGAATATGGTTATCATTCTCTAAGAGAAGGATACTGAGGCTTTTAAAAGAAAAACAGCTGGGTTTTTTGAGCCAGCTGGTTTTAAGCAGAAAACTTCCTTCTTTAACCTTGACCCACAGGTGTTTGCCAGCGTTGTGCCTGGGGCTGGTGGTTTAAGGAGAAACACGGCCAATGCACTGTGAGACTGTCACGGGTTTGCAGGCCCCAGGCTTGCTGAGGAAGACTTCAGTGAGGGGTCAGGTCTGGCAATGGGATGGCTGCGTTGCACCCAGGCTCACCCGTTGTGCTCTTCATTACAACTGGAGTCCTGTGTGATAGCTTGGTGGTCAGGGAATAGGCTCTGAGGTACTCATCTGAAGCCAAGCAAGGGGAAAGACTGACAGTGCCTTTGAAATAAAAAAGAAAACTAATTTTTACACACTGTTGCAGTTTTAATCAACCTTCCTTGTCTACTGTCTGCTCCTTCTCAACTAACTTCAACCTTCTCATGATTAGATATCTGTATAGACTGTCTCTGGAGACAATGAAGAGAGACAGGTAGCTCCAGATTCATGTCATTTCTATTAAACGCTCAACTTCGGGGGGATTATCCACTGGAGGCGCTTTAGGAGGTGAATATTAGACACTATTGCTATCTAACAATATGCTTATGGTTGCACTGGGTTCAGATAACGTTCAGTTTCTGAGGGATTTCAAATATTTCTATTGCTCTTAAACCTAATTAAGCAAATCAAGGTTCTGAATGAACTTGAGAGCCAGGACACTTTATCTGACTTTTGATTTTACATACCTCCTTGTATACCTGAGGTGCCCAGAATTCACAAATTCAGTAATTCCATGTACGACAATGAGGTGGGGAGCTGCAGCAGCCCATCTCTGACTCAGACACTCCTTATAAAGAAATTCATGCCCTTTTATAACCCTGTGTCTTCCAGTGCTTTGGAGCCTTTCCCACAATTCCTAGATTTATGAAAAATATTGTATGCAGAGCTGCCTCTCCATGCAGGAACTGTAACTGGCTTTGTGGGGTGCTCGGACACTGCTGCAGATCTGCATCGGCAGCCCAGGGCCTGGCTGCAAACACTCCCGAACAGGAAAAGATGATGGCACTTGGCGTGCATGGTGCACAGTGTGCTCGGAGCCCACTGGCAGGCACTGCCTCTGCCATCGCTGCTGTTTCAGATTAACCCAAGGAATGTTTTGTCCCACATTTGGCATAAATTTCCCTCTAACTGTGATAGCATCTTTGGGTAATTGTCATAAATAAACAGAAGGACTCATCTTCCGCTCCCTCCCTCCTGTTTTTTTAAGCAGTGAGGATATTTAGTAGTGAACTGTAACTGAAAGCATGATTTCACCATGATGGCTGACCTTTTGCCTAGAACGTAATCTTTGGATTTGCAATATGACCTATGTGAGTGCCATGCTGCCTTCACTCTGAAGTAGTGACCAGCACAGATGTAGCCTCTTGGTGGTTGAGAAGGTCACTGGGCAGCAGGAGTGGAGTCCTGGGGCTGCAGGGCCCTGGCTGTGTGCTGGGCAGTGAGGCATGATCAGCATCGTTTGTGGGTTTTTCCTGCCAACCATGCTACAGCACTGTTCCTCGGATAATACACATACTCTTGGAAGCATTACCAAAATGGAGACAAAAGGAGGATCCCTTCAAAAATTTGTATGTAGACATAAAGCCAGAAAACAAAGCAAGTTCAGGAAAAAAAGAAGGGCACCGCATGAAAGAAGGGTCTTACGGTAGTGATTGTCTTAACAGTTGATGCAAATACATGTTTTAGAGTCAGGATGTATTTAATGGAACCATTTGTGCCTCAGACCCGGTGTTAGTCAGCACTGTGTCACTGAGGTGGGAACTGAGGCCAGAACAGCAGGAAAAACTGCCAGAAACAAGGCAGGAAATGAGCTTTAGCAGGGGAACCAAAAGGAAAAAGCCAGAACTTAGATCTTGAGGAAGAAAAGCTGCAAAATTTGTCTAATTAAGGAATGTAGAACTAGACCAGGTGAGCTAAGGACGTTGATTTGCACATCAGGAGAAAGGAGAAGAGGCTTCACAAAAAGAAAGTCAGAGATGCAGGATGAAAACCAGGACAGAAGCATGGGGAATGGGATTGGAAGGGCTCAGAGGGAGGGGTAGCGGTAAAGTCACATGCTGTGGACAGGTCAAGGATGGTAAGACTAGTATAGGGCCTAATGTTCAAGTGAAAATTTGTACTGCCTGTTGAGAGCCATTGCAATAGAGTGAAGGAGACTTGAAACTAGATAGGATAGACTCAAGCATAGAGCTGAAGGATCAGAATTCATAGCACCTTTATGCCTCCTGGAAAAAAAATACAGCTCAAAATACAATTGCCTAAGAAACTATTGCAAAACTGCTGCAGCTACAGTTAGCAGAACCTGACTCCCTCTTTTTAAGAAGGTGGGTGGATGGATGGTTGGATGCATGGACGGACGGATGGATGGAGCAGGTTTGGCTTTGGAACTCACCCCTTTTGCTTCCTGCCGTGCTTATATTGGTCGTGATGAAAAATTGGCTTTGTCTTCAGCTGAAACTTTCATACACATTAACTTTTTTAAATAACGGGTCATGCAGATCCTAATATGGGCACTAAAAACAAAGGCTATACAAATAAATACTGGGAAAGGACCCACAGCTTCCTCAAGACCGATAGCCAGATTTCTTTCTGCATGCCTTTTGCATCCTGTTGATGATATAACACTTTTTCCCCAGTAATGTCCAAGACACATACTGTATTAATCAGATAATGTAACTTTCCATGATCTAGCCCTAAGAAATGTAATTTAACTTTTTTTCCCTCCCTCTTTGACTCCCTTTGACGAATGACTTTTTCCTAATGGTTTCTCCAACCCAAGAAATCTGGCAAAAGTTATTATATTGTTCTCAGAGCAACGTTTGTGGTGTGATCAATGTGTGATTAGCTACCTGAAGCTTAATAAAGGCCTTGCTCTTTCAAAGGCTTATCCGTGATCCATACTGCACATGAATCGGAATGGCTTGTGAAAGCCAGTAGGAGTATGGACACCAATACAGCTAAATCCACATATATGTTAAGGACTTGGGTACCCCAGGATGGTACCCAAAACCAGCCTTATGCACAAATGAGTGCACATTCCTTCAGCTTTGCAATGACTGCATGGAAATCAATAGGCGTATTGAATGTGTGGCGCTAATAGGAAAAAGAAAGGAATATATTCTTGCGTCCCGTAAAAATGCGTTCTTAATTTCGCCCCTGCCTCCTGTGGTACGTTCCCCATACTGTAGCACCAGTAGCATTAGATACACCTGAAGACAGCTTGTCTCTCTTGTTGTAGTTGCAGGTGGAACTTGATCAGGAATATCAAGACAAATTCAAAAGACTGCCTTTGGAAATTCTGGAGTTCGTACAGGAAGCCATGAAAGGGAAAATTAGCGAAGATGGAGACCACAGTTCTGCCCCTTCTTCCCTGGCATCTGACAGTGGAAAATCAAATCATAAACCTCTGCAAAGTGAAGAGGAATTGGAAGAAGATAATCCAGAAAAAGTGTTTGATACTACTTTTTAATTGCCCAAGAAACAATCAGTGCGCCAGGGCGCACCACTCCCCAGCTGCCGTCTCTGCTCTCCCAATGTGAGCTGCCACTGAAGCGCTTCGGGAGGCAGGAGGAATCTGCATTCAAGTGCACATTTCCCAAAAGGAACATTTTATAAAAAGTATTGTGCAAAGGTCTTCATTCTCATTCTTCATCTTATTATTATTCTAAAGCTTAGTGCAGTTGTAATGGGAAAATTAATGTTAACCATCCTCTCCCCTGTTTTTTCTTTTTTTTTTTTTTTTTGGCCAATTTACAATGAGTAATTTTCTGGCCGTGTTCACTGTTAAGCATGTTTAATGAAGACCAGTGTATTGTGCAGAGACGAATGTGTGCAGATTTCCTTTTGAAGTGCCGGTGCAAAGTGCTCCAAACTAATACAGATCCTAGAGAATATTATAACAGTACTTCATCATATTTGTTTCCTTCTTTATAACTGCACCTTGACAGCTGTACCATCATTTTACATTTGCACTGAAACATGTAATCCTTTTTAGCTTTGCAAGCACTGGTGGCTTGCTGTCTTGATATTAAGTTTATCACATGGAAAGAAATGTAATTGCTGCTGAAAATTCTCGGAACTGTGGGGACAAGAGGAAAACAAAGAGAAGAACTCTGCCTGGAGATTGTCGGTGTCTGTGTATGTCTGTGTTTGTTACACTGTGTGAGTGCATATATGTTTGTGTATATATATATATATATCTATATGTGCACACACATCCGTCTATATACACACACGGCATGTTTCTGTTTGAAGTCAGCGTGGTCTCTTGGCCAAATGAAATGTTTCAGGGATACGTGAGTAGAGAGAATCTTTATGAAAGCTAACATCTGGGTTATACTGCTATAAAATAGTCATTGAATCATAAAATTCTTTTTGTGGTGTTAGTGTTGTAAATCAAAGTAGTTTTAGAATATAAATTTGATATATATTTTGCAGACTCAAAAGTATTGATTTTAAGTATCATATTTTAAGCTTACTGAATTTGATAGGATTATAAAATGTTTAGGACTACAGTATTTGAAATTTAACAGAATCTTCCATTATTTTTGCGACTGAGGTTCAGTTTTACTAAGGTCTGAAATTTAAAAGCAAAATATAAAAACCTGATCACTGTTATTTAAAAATGTATATTAATCCATTTAACTGACTTCTTAAAATAAGAACAATCAAAGTTAGTGTACTGTATGATATGCATGAGAGAAGTAACAGCACATTTTGAGAAATTTGTATCAGACGACAGAGAGGCTTTGTGAAAGTCAGGATATTTGAAAAGGTAAAGAAATGCTATTCTCTGGATTCCCATAGTAACAGAAATAGGAATTATAAAACATTACAGACAGATTCTTATTTGTACCCAAGCCAACACATAGCGCTAAAGGCCTTTCCCTCAGCCGTGTAGTGAAGAGGCGTCTTAGGGCAATGGATAAACTAGCTCAAAAGACATAGATTTGCATCGAGAGGCTTGATCCTGCAAACTCACATTTTCCTGCGCACCGCTGTGCTCAGCACGACTGTTCTGGGGAATAACATTCATGTGCATGCTTGCGAGATTGGGGCCTTACTTTGTATTAAAAAGCAATCCGAGAAAGCAGTCAAGGGAGGCATTTTAATACATTGTAACAGTTAAGTTACTTTACTTCCATTCCCTCAGGATTTTAGTACTTTAAAATAACTTATTATTTTAATTTAAGCAATAAAATATAAATCAAGCTTAAGTTTTCAGTTAAATAATGGTGTGTATATATATAAAGTTCACATCTTGGAAATCAAACAGTATTTTGATGTTTCTTTTTTAAGCTTAGAGCAGAAAGAAAGAAAAATTGCATATTGTTTGGAGATCATATTTTGGATTAAACTATTCTGGTTTACGATGATGAAATTAGTGAACATGAAATTAAAAAATCTGACTTTCATCTTAATGCTAGGAAAGGTGAATCCTTTGTTAATCCTTGTTTTGCACTTTGAAATCAATCTTAATCACTCATTGAAAACGTAGAGAGTCAAGATGTAATGCTGCATTTTATAAAGTAAAAATGACACACTGTCTAAATTATTAAAAGAATAAACTGATAGCAGTGTTCACAATAAAACTGAAGACTATTACGTTATAGAAACCATTGTACAGCACAGGCTTTTTGGTAAAATCTTAGCTCCTTTGAATTTCAGCACTATGTTCCCGTGGACTTCGGGGGAGCCAGGACTTCGCCACAGTCTTCAAAGAAACTTGGGCAAATACCAGTTAACCTTTTATTTATATTTAAAAATAAATAAATATACCGGTTGGATTAAATATACTATTCAGCTGTAGTCATTTTACAGTACATTTGTATTTGACCATTTCCTGTACTCACATTTTTTTATATCTGTACAGTGCCACTTTCTGCAGGTGTAAGGTAGTGTGTAATACTGTACATCTTGCATTGTTCAAACTATTTCAGTGAAACAGATATCATTTAATATTGATATTACTTGAACTAGAGTAAGATAATGAAAAAAGGGTCTTTATGATGTGCAAGTCTTGTGCCTTTTATGTATTTGCCTTGTTCTGTGTTGAATGTGTGGAAATGCTGTATCGTGGACTTTCTGCTGTATAGAATAGAGCTGTCTATATTAAACTAGGTCGTGCACTTCAGATATCTTTACACTACTGAAAATAGCTTGGTTTTGGCAGTATAAACAGAATTTTAAAAATTCTAATGAAGGCCAGACATTTTAGATTTAACATGTTCATAATTATGTTAATTAATGCTCATGTATTAGCTAAACATTCACTGAAAGATAACTAAAGGGACAACATTGCTTGCCTTTCTTTGAAATCAGTGTTGCTCTTATACATTGTATTAATAGTGTCTGTGATTGATTAGTCCTTGATGATTTGCTTTCAAAGTAGGATGAAATATTTCAGTTAACATGTACATATTTTTCAGTTCCTCAATCTATGATTGTTTCAGAGGCATAATTCACATTTTTGTAAAAATTCTATGCAATTTTGTGGCATGATGTTTCTTCCACTTGTAATTTTACGTGCTTACATTACAGATCCAAAGGACAAATAAAAATTTCTTAACACAAGATGGTTGTTTTCTCTGTTCATTGACTCAAAAAGCCTCAGTTGACTCAGGAGACCTTACTGACCTTGAAGACCTTTACCCTGGCCCCTTTGCTCCTGCGAAGGGCAGTGGCACGAGGAGTCGATGAAGTTTCCCTGCAGGCTCTTGTGTTCACAACGAGAACAAGAAATTGCATGTGCCTGGGCACCCGCCGCCCCTCCCAGAAAAATGTGCATTTGCCAGTGCTCTAAAACAATGGGAGACTTTTTCAAAAAGTGCACAGCAGCCAATGAACTGGTAAGAAAATGTATTGGGTTAGAGGACAGGCTTTTGTAGAATAGCAGTTGCATGATTTTCAGCCATACTGGTAAACTACCTTGACAAATTAGAGCAGCCTTACTTCTCTTCCACTGCCCCAGCTGTTTCACTGATCATCTATGCAATTATATATGTGCTGTGAAATGTACCTTTGCAGGGGCCTTCCACTGAGAGCACTGAAAAATAAATCTATTCCATTGGCTTTTGACTTTCCTTTCCCCATTTAATTTACAATGTAAAAAATTATCTCTGGGAGAAGAGATAAGCAGGTATATTAATCCAGTGTACTAAGGGATACACCTATTAAAATAAATAGTCTCCAAGGCAAGTAGACTCAAATTGCTCACTAGAAGAGGTGTCAGGAAATGGGGTCTGATGAGGGGGATGGACACGGCACAGCTAAAAGCAGGCAAGGAAGGGAGGAACAGAGCTGAAAGCCGAGCCCCTGAATTTGACAGAGAGGAGTAAGCCTAGGACAGAAAAGGAGCAGGGGGGAAAGCGAAAGAAAAGAAAAACAGGGATGTTTCCTTCCCAAAGGAGGAGCAGTGGGGTGTGAAATCAAGAGCAGGGTTCATCAGGGCCCCATTAGTGAGCTGCCTGTCGTGTAGCGAGGCAGGCGAGGGGAGGCAGCATGGTGGTGAGGATTTGGGGAGGACGAGGGGGAGACAGTGACACCGAGCACAGAGGGAAAAGCCAGGAGGCCATGGGAAGGATTGGGAAATAGCCCTCGGCTCCCACGGGGCTCAGTGAGGCAGGATTCTCACAGCCGGCCGAGCAGGCGACCTTGGCATTTGTTGTACTTGGGCCACAGGAGACTGACTTGGCTGCTGAGGAGAGAGGGCGACAGGCTGGGATGTGTGGAAGAACAATTTGGAGGCCGACCACGGGGAAGATGGTGTTAACGGAGGCCAGGCAGCGGGTCCAGAGCTGCGTGCTCTCATGCAGCTGTGGACACTACGTGAAGCAAGCCCATTGGGTTGCTGAATCTTCAAGTGGGTTCTGCAGATGCTCCTGGTGATGGCCAGAAGAAAACCAGCCTCACTACAGCAGCAGAAGTCTGCTACTATGAGCTAGGGAAGGTGACCAAAGACTTCACTTAGCCCTCTAAGTGGATGCTTTGGTAACTACTGCCAGTGCCAGGTTCTACCACAAGTAATTGATCCTCAGCTTTATGAGACTAACATCATTTCCTTCACAGTGATGAAGCTTCCAGGCGAGGGCTGGGGGCTGTCTGGATCCAAGTGAGGTCTGGGGGTGGGCATTGGGGGACATCACTGAGCAGGGCAGGAAGAGTTTGGAGGGGGTGAGCAGGCTAAAGGGCCATACAATGAGGCCTCCTAAAACCCAGGCATGCAGTCGAACCCCAGGAAATCATTTTGAGGTAAACAGCTGTACCTTTGAAAGACATGAATGGGGGTTTAAACCCACAAGGACTACATTGTACCCTCAGACTTCAGGAGAGCTCTGAGTGTGGGAGCTGTGCAAGTCAAATCTGCCAGCCCTGGCTGAAGCACTCAAGCTCATGAAGCCACTAAGTTTCAGCTACAAAATTCAGGTCAGCATTTCTTACTGACAGATTGGCTTCAACAACTGCATTTGG